CGCACCTGAGGCCTAAGATCTTTGTCCTAGGATATTTCTGTCGGGCTCCGGTCCGGTCGCATAATCGCATTGAAACTCGGGGCGTCGGAAACCGATTCTGCCCCCATGTTATCCGACGCGCTGGACCCCCCAAATCTCGCAGGATCTCCGGAGAGAGGGGCTGTACAGACAGGGGCTGAAAGCCGTGTTTGAGAAAGACGCCCAGTGCTCTCCTGCCCCTGCCTTGCTCTGGCACTGAAGGGATTCCCCAAGGTCTCGGCGTCTGCTGCATGTGAGCCATTTAACCAGAATCTTGTCGTCTGTCTTCGGTGTGATTAACCGGCAAGTAACCTGTTAACCAGCCCTTTTGTTTATACAAGTTACCCCTGTGGGATAACCGTGACGTTCCCCACTCTCTCGTCCTTGAAATCAGGTTTCCCCGCAGGGTGCGGGTGACTTGAAAATAAAAAAAGAACAACAACATTTCTCTCTCCCATCCGGCGTTTCTGCTTTTGCTCGTAGTTCATATATGGAGATGACTCAACAGCTGTTTCATTCCGCTGTCCCACGCTGTTACAAATTCCAGGCTCCCCGTTCTGGGCCTGTAGCGTCCCACAGATCAGCACTATATTTGGAAACAGAAACCCTTTTTTCCAAAAGCCGAGGGTACAGAGCTTCAGGGGAGGTGTTTGGTTATATAACCTGGAGGTGGCAGCTTTGATTTTTAATGGACGGTGCAGGGCGATCTCACTGGGCGCTGGAAAAGACATTTTCGGCGTCTCCCGGATCTGCGGTGTGCTCCGCTCGCTCGGAGATTCACATCGGACGGATGTCTTATTTAAGAGAGAGCTGAATCTTTGAAGTCCCTTAGATATTCCGGAAATCTCCCCGTGTTCCCAGTTTCCCCATCCACGGACATGCTGGGAGGTTAACGGGCTTCTGGGAAGGCGAGCCCTGGTGTGGGCGTGTGCGCCCTGGGGTGGACTGGCTTCCCATTTCTTGCTGGGATAGGCTCCTGGTCTCCCGCGACCCTGGACTGGGAGAAGCGGTATATTCAGGAGTTGGATAGGAGCTACAGGCCCTAGTTGTAGGGCTGTCCTGATTTCGTACACGCCGTGAAGGCCGTTCCAGTGTGATCTCCAGAAAAGGGCTTCGGCCAGGCTTCAGGGAAATGGGCGCTGTGCAGGTGGGGGGGGGGGGTGCCACTGGGGCTGGGGCCCCCACGACCCGCTGTTCCAGGTCAGACAGAGTCAGGAACCGGCTGGGCTCTGCCTTCAGGAAGACACAGCCCCATTATCGAAGCCCTCAGCCGTGACAAAAAGTGAAGTTTTAGCATTGTAGGTAGCAGATAGTAACTAGTCATATTTTATTTCGAGCAGACTTGATTTTATATAGCGCCTTTACAGCGCTTTGCAGAACCACAGCAACGACACTAAAAAAAAAATACACAAGATGTGCAGGAGAAGAACACACAGTGAGAGGAGACGGTAGATGGGGGTTCTGGATACAGTAGGAGCAGAGGGGTGAAGAACAGAACCGGCTCAGTACAGGCTCTTCTACAGAAGAGGGTTTGGAGTCTGGATGTGAAGGAGTTTAGAGAAGGTGGCTCTCTGATATCCTTGGGGGCAGAACTCCAGAGCTCTGGGGCGCAGCAGGAGAAGACCCTGTCGCCCCCAGAGTGTAGACAGGCTTGGGGGGGGACAGACAGGAGACCAGGATTCGAAGAGCGAAGGTTGTGAGGTGGGGAGGAGGACATCAGGTACAAGGTGTAGGGAGGTGACTTCAGACACCACCATTTTTTTTTTTTTGGAACCTTTGTGACCTTTGCTTGTGTTTTGGTCTCTTGCTCTCTTGATCGCGGGCATGCTTGGGTGCGGGGTGGCGCTGGGCGAGGAAATGTGTCCAGTAAAACCAGTAACCTGGCTGCCCTCGCCCGCGAATGGCACGCACCACCCCCCTTTGGCTGTAACCTGGGGAAGTTTTGGAAAGTCTGGGACGGGTCGGACTCGGATAACTCTTCCAAAGAGGGGTGTGTGGCTGGTTGCCCCCTGGTCGAGGTCGCTAGAGCCAAGCACCAGAGGGATGGCGGAGGATCAGAAGTCCCGAGCCTGTTTTTGACTTGGGAAAGCTCTCCAGTGTCAGGGCGGTCGTGTCGGTGTGCCTCGGGCTGACTGAGCCCCAGTGTGTAGGGCTCACAGAGGGCTCTTTGTGCCCAGCGCGGGGGGCCGTCTCTGTGTGGCACTGCCAGCCCGGGGGGGGGGGTGAATCGTGCTTCCCAGAACCGACGAGGCGGGGGAATTCGCCGGGCTTTGTTCAAATCCCAGCCTTTTATCCCCCACCACCCCCCTTCCTCTTTCTCCAAGAATTGAGCTTCTGTGAGACGTAAGAACAGTCTGTATTCGCAAAAACGCCCGATAAGTTGCGTTGTTAGGCGCCCTGGGGGCAACCTTGTTGGGAAAGGCGCTATATAAAACGGAACTGAATGAACGGCGAGCCGCTGCTCAAGCCAGCTGCTTGGGGGCGTGGAGGGGTTTAGTCTCTAGATCGTTCTCTCCCATGGGGGCCGTACCCCGGTGCTGGCCAGCGGTGTGGCTGGGAGGAGGAGGAAGAGGAGGAGGAGGGGGGGGGGTGAGATTTTGACCCACGCTGCCCAGCAGTGAGGTATCGATCTTCGGTCGCCTTCGAACGTGCCTGCCGCGATCGGAGGTGTCACAGGACCTCCCTGAACTGGGGCAGTCAACCCCCCCCCGGGGTTGTTGACCAACACTGTTTTGACGTGAGCGTTCCCCGAAGACTGCCCATATATGGCCTGGAGTCGGGCTGCTGTGTGCCTCAGGAGTGCATCTCCAGGCCTCCGGGCCCAGACCTCAGCTCCGTCTCGATGAGCCGGAGAAGGGGCTGCTGTGCTGGCGGGGCGCAGGGGAGTCAAAACAAAACCAAGCGCCGGGGGTCTTGGGTATCTGTTTCCTACATCTGCTCTCCTTATTTAGGGGCCCGGGTTCGAGCTGCGGGGAGCAGGTTTAGCTCTGTAAACGGGACGGGGTGGGGGGGGCTGCGTCGTGGAGCGCGAGAGGGAGGCGCGTCCTTACGCCGAGGGTGGCGGGTGTCTGGAACCAGGCGCCTCCTGGCCGCGCTCTGGAAGGGGTGTTTCGCTGGGGGGGGGGGTCTCCGAGAAGAGGTCCTCAGGATAACCTGGCCGCTGGGTAGCAAATGAGATGGAGGACAAGGACAAAGTCCTCCATGTAGGTTTCCTCCAGGTGCTCCAGTTTCCTCCCACAGTCCAGAGACAGGCTGGTGGGTTAATGGGCTTCTGGGAAAAACTGGCCCTGGTGTGTGTCCGGTGATGGACCGGCGTCCCGTCCCGAGTGTACCCCGCCTTGTGCCCATTGCATGCTGGGATAGGCTCCCCCCCCCGACCCTGAATGGGAGGAAGCGTCTAGAAAATGGGTGCATAGAGATCATTTGTTTTTAAAAACCTGGCCCTCCTCTTTTCTCTTTATTTCATTAAGGCCACAGTTTAAAGGCGCTCAACAGGACGAACGTGACCTCTCACCCCCTGTTGATCCAATCGATCCACCGAGCAAATATGCGCGATAGTGGAATAGTCACATCTGTAAGACAGTGAAGCTTTTTGTTTTTTAAAACTTGAAACGGCCTCGTCTTCTTTCCTGTCCCTTCATCTCTGGACCGCGTGGGGAATGGTGCTCCCGCTTTTAAAAACGCGGCCCTCTTTACACCGAGGGCGGTGGGGGTGTGGAGCCTTGTGCCCAGCCTTGTGGCGGAAGTGGACACCCTGGAGTCGGGCAACGGACACGGCTGGATAGGATCCCAGCATCAGAACATCTTTACACAAAGGGCGGTGGGTGTGTGGAACAGGCGTCCCGTGCATAGCGTTGGCGTCTTCAATTCACAGCTCAACCAACCGGCTGGAGTGCCTCTCCTGTTCTTGTTGGCGACTGCCGTCTTCGGACTGTTTTTGTAGACCCGAGGCACATCCCACAATTCCCGCCCCGTTTTGTTTTTTTGGCCAAGTTAAGGTGAAGCTTGTCAGATCCCGTAAAACCACGCCACGTTGCTGGGTTTCAACTCCTCCTTTCATCTCGGTGCCGTTGGCTCACCGTATAATAACTGAGGCGCGTCGCCCCGGTTCTGTTTTCGACTGGCGTTCAACAACAGTACGATTGTAGGTTATAAAATCAGTTTCTATATGAATCTAGTTTCTAGTGTTGACCTCAATGGCAAAAATCTTTAAAAAATGGGAAGGTATCCTTCAGTATCCCAAGACAAGATTCTTTGCGAGAGTCCAGATGTTAAGAAAATGGCTTTTGAAGTAATACACCTTGGGGAAAAAAGTCCCAAGCAGTTACTTCTTGGGAGGAAAATGTTTCTGAACTGCTTTTTTTTTTTCTGATCATCACGAGTTCGCGTCTTACTGGTTTGAATCCGGTCAAACCTTTAAGACAAAGCTGTGCGTGGCACAGACGAAGCCCAGCTCTCTCTCTCTCTCGCGTGCAGACATGGCCTCTCACCGCTGGGGGTGGTGGCACACGGGGCCGGCTGATTGATGTGCTGTTTTCGGCTCTGTGCCCCGGGCTGAGGTGTCTTCAAGGGCGCTTGCCTGCTCTGTGGCTAGGACATTGTGTTCCGTCTTGGGGAGGGGGCTCTCGGCTCCCATATTAGGCAGCGTTGGGAGGGTGGGGGCAGGCATTCCTGAGTCAGGCAACAGCAGATTCCTTGTCTGCAGTCTGCCCCCTCTTCCTCCTCCTCCTCCTCATCCTCCTCTCCTCCCTGCTTTCTCCGAAGTGGCGGATAGGTGCAGCTGGCCCGGCCCATCTCTCTCTGTCTCGGCCTCAATTCAATTCAAGGCGCTTTATTGCCATTTAAATGGCATTTACTGGCATCGGTGTTGCCCAAGCACGTACAAATAAAACGTACTTGAAACAAAACCCCCCCCCAAAAAATCAGGACATTCGCTACCTCCCCGAGGAAGGTCAGTCCTGTGGGGTCACCGGAGTGCCGCCATGGCCCGTTTCCCCTCTCTCGCCCGCGCACAGCGCCGACCGGGGCGCAGGTGAGCGTTGGTTACGCAAGAAGAAACGGGGCTTTTTCAGGATCGTCCTTCGGGCTTCGGTGCGTTTCAGTTGTCGGGTTATTATTGCTGCCTTGCGGTATTGGAGTCTGGGGGTTTTGTTTCCAGACTGGGGTGCTGTCTGTGTGGAGTCTGCATGTTGCCGGGAAAGTATTGCAGTACCCTGTCCAGCCCGGATAGGAGGCGGTTCTTTACACAAAGGGTGGTGGGAGAGTGGAGCAGGTCGCCCGGCCCTGGTGTTGAAGCCGATACCCTGGTTTCTTTCTAGAAACAGGTGGACGAGGTCCTGGCATCGATGGGCTGTTAGCAACCAAATTCGGACTGGAGGGGCCCAGCGGTCTCCTCGGGTCTGTCGCCTTGCTCTGGCTCCTCCTGTCCTCCTCAGTCAGTCGTTGTCGAGATCTCTCACCCCCCCCCCCCCGGCCCTGGGCGCCGGAGACGAGAGGCTCCACTTGAGGAGGCCTTCAAGCCCAGGTGCTGGCGACAGGCCTGCTGGCAGCTGCTGCAGGAACAGCTCTGGGGAGGAGAGGCAGCAGGATGGGAGAGCAGTAGCAGAAACACGCACGGGCATCATACAGGCAACCACAGGCATCAACATGGGCAACATGTGAGCAACACACAGTCCTGCTTTATTTTCTGTTCATGGCAGCTGATCGATCTGAGGAGCTCATCTAAGCCAGGGTGTCTGCCTTCAACTACAACAGCAACAGCAGGAACAACTGAATGCACTAGACTGTAAACAGGCGCCGTCCTTCGGATGAGACGTCAAACCGAGGTCCTGACTCTCTGTGGTCATTAAAAATCCCAGGGCGTTTCTCGAGAAGAGCCAGTTCAGAGAGGGGGGTTATCAAGAGGCCATGATGGGATGGGTAAAGGCCAGGGGGGAAATTTGGCCAGGACACTGGGGTAACACCCCTACTCTTTTCGAGAAACGCCCCAGGATTTTTAATAACAGAGAGTCAGGACCTCGGTTTTACTTCTCATCTGAAGGGCGGCGCCTGTTTACAGTCTAGTGTCCCCCGTCACTATACTGGGGCATCAGGACCCTCACAGACCGCAGGGTGAGCGCCCCCTGCTGGCCCCACTCACACCTCTTCCAGCAGCAGCCTCAGCTTTCCCAGGAGTCTCCCCCTCCAGGTACTGGCCAGGCTCACACTGCTGAGTCTCCAGTGGGGCTGCCAGTGGGGAGCTGCAGGGTGAGCGGATTCATCCCGCTACGGAGTGAGCTCCACGGTGTGATGGAGAACTAAGATCTGCTAGGGGTGCGCGGGTTGGCGGGCCCGGGGGGGGGGGGGGGGACCCCTAATCTAGCCGGCAGCTGGGGTTGAGGAAAAGGCGCGCCGTGGACCAGAGGTCCCCAGTTCAACTCCCAGCTGTGCCACCGGCTCGCCGGCACCGAGTGAATCTGTGGAACGTCCGGTGCCCTTTGCTGCGCGGTTCTGGGGGACTCGGGGGAGACCCCCGAGCTGAGCTCATTACAACTGCGGGGTGAGCAAGCCTGCTTCCGGGCTCCTGGGGGAATCGGCTCCTTCCAGGGAGCAGTGGAGAGGGGCAGAGGAGGAGGGGAGGTCTCCTGCTCTCCTGACGTGACCCCAGTTGATCCCAGAGCTATTTTCTGACATCCTGCAGCAGTTTTCACGTGATCCCCAATGTTTGGATAGCCCGTCGCGCTTCACCGCGGGGGGGAGGGCAAGGCATCAACCGACTACCACGATTAGCCAAGGTCTCCTAGTAAACCAGCTTTTCTTCAACCCCCCCCCCCCCGAATGGTGCTCCTGGGCGGACCTCCCCCCCGCTGGTTCTGTGTGCGGTGAATGTATTTCTTCCCCGGGTTGTTAATGGTTTGTCGCTGCGGAGCCGAGAGGCTGCGCGTCACCCATGACGTCACTCTGCCCCCTTCCGCTGTTCTCCTCCCCCCCCCGGCCGGGTCTCTGAGCCGGGACCTGCTCCGTCACCCTTGGTCTGGTTGCTAGGCAGCCGCTGACGACGGGGCCCTGTTTACCGGCGTGTAAGGTGAACCGGCAGGCCGGGGGAGGGGGGGCAGGAGGAGTTCCCAGCGGCCCCTGCGACAGCGCCTGTGATTCAGGCCGGCTCAGCCGAGCGCCGAGCTGTTGTCGTCGATAGCAGAGGGGCTACTGGGGGGGGACGGGGACGGCGTGAAGCATTTATTGAACACGAAATAATGCAAAGGAGAAAAACTATCCAGAAAAAGACGCTCCTAAAAAAAAAAACAGCTCCTCTATGCGCTGCTCGAATCAATACGCTACCCAAGTCGGAGCACAAGTTCAACATTTCTCATCAGTCGTGTTTTTCGCCTCGTTATTCTTCATGCTGCTTAAGTAATATTGCGTTTCCATCGAGCTTTTAAAGAAGGGAGTAGCGTTAGGCCGTTTTAGTTTGTGAATACGATATCTGCCCAGTATTACGAGTTAATTACGAATGTTTTTCCCCCATTTTGCGTCTTGCGAAGAATAAGTATTTAAATGGTTCACGTAGGACTGTGATAAAGACAGTTTAATGCGAGTCTAGCCAAAACAACTTTGGTAAATAGGCGTTACGTAGTTGTAACTGAGTTTAGCGCAGATTGCGCTGTTGTTGTTGTTGTTGTTATGCGGTCCTGTTGCCAGGCAACCGAGTGGCGCTCTGCCGCCGTGGGTTCACGATCTCCCAGAATGCCCCGCTCTCCTGGGTCCCCCTCGCCCGCTCAGGCTGTGAAAAACCCACCAGGGAGAAGCAGCTATTAATACTTCTAGTACAGGGTACTGCTACTGGCGCCACCAGACTCAGGCACGCTGGCTCCGGGACTTGACCACTCGCAAGAGCCTGGTTTGGAGAGGCCATATTCCTTGGTTTTGGTGATATGTTTTTGTTTTTAGTTTCTCACGAAAGAAAATAAAACTATGGATGCAGAAATACAGCTCATACAGAAAATGTACGGTCACAGACTTAAGACTGTAAAAGGGCGCCGTCCTTCGGATGAGATGTAAAACCGAGGTCCTGACCACTCTGCGGTCATTTGAAAATCCCAGGGCGTTTCTCGAAAAGAGCCGGTTCGGAGATGGGGGGGGTTATCAGGAGGCCATGATGGGTAAAGGCCGGGGGGGAAATTTGGCCAGGACACCGGGGTAACACCCCTACTCTTCTCGAGAGACACCCTGGGATTTTTAATGACCACAGAGAGTCAGGACCTCGGTTTGACGTCTCATCCGAAGGACGGCGCCTGTTTACAGTCTAGTGTCCCCCGTCACTATACTGGGGCATTAGGACCCACACAGACCGCAGGGTGAGCGCCCCCTGCTGGCCCCACTAACACCTCTTCCAGCAGAGGTGTCCTTTCCTTAGCTCAGTCCCACCTTTGGCTCCGATCTCTGCAGTCCGTCCTCCTTGCTTTATCCGAAATTCCCTCTTATTTCCCTTTCCCAGCTTCTCAGTCTGATCGGTGTTACCCGTAGCTCTGTGTGATGGAGATCTCCTGGCTGCTGGCTCGCCGATCCACCCCACCCCACCTGAAGCCGCAGTGCCCTGTGTCCCGAGAACTGCAGGCGAGCAGCCCCCCTCCCCCTTAGCTGTGGCGCAGATCTGTGTGGGCGGTTTCGTCCCGGGGGCAGCGGGGACACAGAGGGACAAGGGAAACCGAGCTGGGCAGGGGTCCAGCGTTGAGACAGCACAGCGTGACCACAACGCCGGCACTGTTCCCCGCCTGACTCACGCCAAGCTCGTAAACACCCAGTCCGTTCTGCCATTCCAGCTTCCTCCCACAGGCCTCCCGGGAACCGCACTGGCCTTCCCAGGAGTTCAGGAACGGCTGCTCTCCCCTTCCGCGGCCTGATCTGTACAGTTATGGCCCTTTCAGGGGGCAAATCTGGGCGTCCCCAAACGCAGCACTGTCTTAGATGGGATAAGAAAGCGCTCCAACCCTTTTCATTGTTTTTTTTGGTGAGGAAAACATTCCCCGCCGGAATGACGGATTCTAGTCTTTTTGGCCTTTGAACTGGGTCAGTACATGGTGCTCTGGCGTCGTGGCGAAGGCGAAGGCTCAGCAGGGAATGGCCCCCAAACTGGAATTGGTTGCCACACACTAAGCAAGTGTCTGATGTATTACCCGATAGTTTGCAGCTTTCCTTGGGCACAGCGGAGTGCGTTTCACTGAGAAACGCTGGGCGTCCTGAAAGGTCTCTCTCGCTCAAGGCAGACGTCTCAGTGGGGCGGGGGGGGGGGGAGGGGTTATTTGGGGTGCTTTGGGGCGCCGCAGCCCTAACCTGTTGATCTCTGGCCAGTGGCAGTGGGTCCGCTGCGGTACAGTTCAAATCCGAAAAGCCTCTTAAATGTTGCTCCGATCCAGCGCGGGATGAGCTGTTGCACCCGCGGCGAGTCTCTGCCCGAGAGGCCTCGGGCCTCGAACCGTGAGCCGCCCTGTCCGCTGGGCCCCTGGACCTCGAGAGTCCGAGCCCGACCGGGCCTCGGCGGTGTGGGACTGTGGGATTCCTGCCCTCCTCCCTAACGCCCCCCCCCCTTCTCTCTCCCCCAGTGCGGGGATGTCGCCCGGGGAAGATCGTGCAGATGACGGAGGCGGAGGTGCGGGGCCTGTGCATCAAGTCCCGGGAGATCTTCCTCAGCCAGCCCATCCTGCTGGAGCTGGAGGCCCCCCTTAAAATCTGCGGTGAGTGCTGCACCCCCATTTCCCCCCCCCCCCACACGCCACCCCATCCTGTTTCTGCTGCTCCCCGAAGCCCAGCTCGTTATCCACTGAGACATGGGCGACGGCCGTGGTGGTGATGGGAGGTGGTTCCTAATATTTTGGCCAGAGGGTGTGCTCTGCTGGTGGTGAACTCGTTTGTGTGAAAAGGCGCCCTTGATTAAAGTGCCGTTTCCCCGGCGCGCGCGCAGGCGACATCCACGGGCAGTACACAGACCTGCTGCGGCTCTTCGAGTACGGCGGCTTCCCCCCCGAGGCCAACTACCTGTTCCTGGGCGACTACGTGGACCGGGGCAAGCAGTCGCTGGAGACCATCTGCCTGCTGCTGGCCTACAAGATCAAGTACCCCGAGAACTTCTTCCTGCTGCGCGGCAACCACGAGTGCGCCTCCATCAACCGCATCTACGGCTTCTACGACGAGTGTGAGTCTCCGGGGGG